GGAGCTGTCCCGGCCGAGAAGAGAAAGTGCCAACCTTAACACACACACACACACACACACACACACACACACACACACACACACGGTCACACAGAAGGTAAGTCATGATATTCACCCAACTTTTTATTTTCTGTTTTTCCTCTTCAATGCTATGTAGTCCAATCTCAGCAATAGGAATGTGGTTTCCTGGGTTAGACCCACTACAGTCTAAATCAATAAGAAAGATATTGAATTCCGCCAGACCCCACGATAAGGAAATAACTGCAGAATTCCCCCAAAGTTTCCTGTCAAATATCCGTCTCAAAAATGGAAGGGGTTGTTAACTGATCGTTCAGGCCAGTGATCAATAAAGCCTCCTGAACCTGACTCTGGACCGGACACATTGCAAAACTCCTCGCCCCTAGACCTTTGGGCTTTGCTATCAGTTCTGCAAAGCCATGTGCTTGTTGGCTGGGCTTTACCTGAGAGAAACACACACAGTTAGCTGGATCTGCCTCCATTCCCAACTCACAGGACCTAAAAGTGGACAGGTTCTATATTGTGTGTGTGTGTGTGTGTGTGTGTGTGTGTGTGTTTTCGGCTGGGGAGGGGGCAGCAGAGGCAAAGATTAATAACGTGCTCACCGCAAGCCTTTCAGAGGGCTCGGCCATGGCTCAGGAAAAAGGCATCATATCAGTCCCTCTGGAGACTCCGAGGCTGGCATCTAACCTCGTGCCGCGTAAGAGGTACCTACGACCCTGGGCCCCCAAGCCATCACCCTCGGTGTCCTGGACAGGGCAGCCGGGCGGCCTCTCCCTCTCCGCTCCTTTGACAATACTGCTGCGGCGGAAAGGACGTCTCCACGCGAGCCATCCCGAGGCGCACAGACCAGCGGGACCAACAAGACCAGCAGCAGAAGAGTCGAATTTCCCCTCCCGGAACTCCAAGGAAAGTTTCCCCGTTTTCAAGAGCGCGATTCTCGAATGAATCGAAAACACCCCTCAAGCCCCCGGGTCCTCTAGCCTCGGCGCGTCCCCCTCCGGCACAGACTCGGGTGCACGCGGTCCCGACCCTCCACCTTCCCCAAGAGGTCGCCTGTCACCCCAGCCGACGCCGACAGCGGGTCGCCGGCGGGGCAATCGCGGCGCTCCTCCAAAGCTCCCCTTTGCGGCCACGTTTGCCAGACAAAAAGAGGCCGAATTGGGAGAAAGCGTCGCAGGCTCACCTCGGGGCCGCGCTCTCCCGGCCTCGCAGTCGGTCGCCGAGCCGCCAGCTGCCCCGCCGGGCGCCTCGGAGCATTGTTTGGAGAGTGTGCGCGCGCGGTCCGTGCCCGGCTGCGGGCGGGTGTCGTCTCCCCTCCGGGGTGCCTTCCTCTGCAGCCCCGGGGCCGGCTTCCTGGTCAGCCTGCAGCGTAGCCGTCACCTCCCGTCCCTGTCTGTGCCCACTCGCCGAGGCGCAGCCTCCTCCTGGAGGTCAGGGCCCGCCCCGCGCCCTCAGCCCCGCGCGCCGCCAGCTCCCTCGCCGTCCGGCTCCAGCTCCCCAGCCCCGATTCCTCCAAACTCTCCACACCCGGCCCCTCCTCCACGTACCCCCTCCCGCTCTCGACCGTGAAGCTCCGCCCCAGCCCGAGACTTGGCGCTGTCTCACCCCCAGTGGAGCCCCCATTTGCACCCCTCCTCGACGATGGTTCTGCATGGTTCTGCCGGGGCGAGTTTCAGTGTTTGCTGCCTTCCACGCTGTATGTCTAGGTGTCCTTTCATCCACCCAGCTCTGCGAGACCCTGGAGCGTGGAGCGCGGGGAGGGTGGGGACGGGGGCTTGGGATGGGGGAGAGTAAAGCACCAGTTCTGGAGTGGAGGAACAGAAAGTGAGGGGTCGGGAGTGGAACCGTGAGGCCAGGAGCCGAGACGGGATCCGAAAGCTGCGTGGGCACCATGATCGTCAATTGCTGTTGCCCTTGGGAGGGTGGCGCTAGACCGAGCCCGCCTGTTAATCCCAAAGGCTGGTTCTAGGTCCTGCTCAGTCTCTGGACTGATCCGAGGCCTCAGGCAAATTGCTTAATCTCTTTGAATTTTAGTTTTCTGAATATGGAATGCAAGGGTTGGACTGGAGAAAGTCGTCTTCCACGACGCTGGGACTGCCAGGTCTTCCTCAGGCCAAATGTTACACCTGTGTTTACACCGTTTCCATTAAGTGACTCATTCACTGAGATAGAAAGAGTTCGAGATAGTCCCAGGGCTAAAAATCTTTTCAGCGAAGGTATGGCAGCCTGCGACCCAGTCAGTCCCCTCCCTTCCTCTTGGAGCCAGTGCCAAGGTCATCACCTTGTGTCTGCCTGGGTTGAGGGAATGTGGTGAATGGAACAGGAAGAAGACCCCCGCAAAACACGTCCTCTCTGCCCGCTCCTCCATACCCCGGGAGGCACTGTATTGTAATTCCGATTAAGATCCTCTGCCCTTCAGCCCACCAGAAGAGCCTGACAGCTTCCGCTGCACTCAGAGGAGGAAAGCTGGTTCTCTCTAATTTCCTGTGCTCTCCTTGTGAACTGGTGGGACAGAACAGAACTGGGAGGGTGAGGAGGAAGGTGGAGGGGGGAGAGGGAGAAGACATGATTTTATGTTAAAAAAAGAAGAAGAAAGATAGGAGGGACATAGTACTTTCTCATGCTCCAATGTCTTCGATTTCTCTGGAGTATGAATAGAAGGTATAAAGTGATGGAAGTGGGACCAACATTCTTTAAGTACCTACCTTGTGCCAGCAATCCCAGGAGAGGGACATCATCCCCATTTTACAGAAAAGTAAACTGAGGTACAGAGGGCCACATAATTTGCCAGGGCCCATCTGGCTGAACACTGGTAGTGCCAGGATTGGAACTCAGAACTGTCTAACTCCACGGATGAGCAATTTTACTCCGTCATACTGCCCTCTTCAAGCACTGGGAGTCTAACCCCACTTTTCTTTCTTTCCAAAGTGAGGGAAACCATTTGATCATACATGGAAGGAAAACCCTGGTTAGGTTTCATCAGTACCCAACAAAGCCAAGGGTTCCAGCTCACTAATTTACCAAAACCCAGGAAGCGGGTAAGTACAAAGAGATCTATCTATGTTGGGGAAATAAAATTAAAAAAAAAAAATTAAAAATGACATCAGGAGGTACATGCAGTTCAGTGAAAATGGAAGAGGACAAAGCTGGGTGTTTGAGAAGTTCCTGGTTCCCGTGATTCAGGCTATTTCAGCTCTTCCTCTGTGAGGTCCCAGTGGGGATAGCCACCTTGCCGGAATGAGCACATCAGAGGCACTCACTTTCCCACTTTATTTTCTTCTCTTTACCTAATTTATCCTTAATACATGAACAGGCTAAAGAACGTGATTACAAGAAGCAAAGTCTTGCTAGTGTGACAAGACTGGTGGTTCTGTGTCAAGGGACAGCAACCGAAAGGTTAATTCAGTCCCGCGAAACGAGCTGCGTTCTGAAGTGTTTTGCTGTGCTCACACAAAATAAATGCATTGTACTGTAGTTGCTGATATACAATGTGCATGTTTTTATGCCAGCAACATGGCCTTAAGGATGGCTTCATCTTGCCTAATGAAAAGAATCAAAAAAATACTTCAAAAGACTCACTTAGATGCACATAAAATGCCCATTTTCTTATGCAGTGCTTCACCAGTGACCGTTAAGTATGTTATCTCCTCAGTAAAGTCTCAGCAAACTCATGAGTTTTAATAAACATTTCTACTGGAACTTCCAAACTGCACCCTGCAATGCAGTGAAGTTTGTATATACAAAGCATTCTGGCTCTAGCTGCTTTTTAGTCCATTTTTATGACACCTTTAACTGCAGGGCTTGAGTTCCCTGATACAGATCAGATCTTGAAGAAGAGCGATTCCGTTTAGGGTTTTAGTCCATGAGCATCATACTGTACAAGAGAGAAGTTACATTTCAGAAAATAAGGACAAAGGTTGGGAGAGGTAGTGCTTGGGGGTGGATAAGGTAAAGCACTGCAGAATTAGAAAGGCAAAAAAATAAGATGAAGAAGTGCACAGTATTAAATTATATAGTCATGTGCCACATAACGACCACGTTGCAGTCAACAACGGACTGCCTATATGACAGTGGTCCCATATTACCTTCCTCTGCAGAGCCTCTCATTATTGGAAATGAGGCTAGGTGTGTCTGTACACATGTACATGAGCAATTAGCTGTCAGGCTTCCTGTGCATGTACTAGAAAAGGAGAAATTATAATAAATTAGCCACCTGTAGGCCCCAATGCTGAAAAAAAAAATGGAGCTAAAAAATGCCTGTAGTCTAGTGACCTTGTAGCTGTTATAACACTGTAGGGCAATGCATTACTCATGTGTTTGTGCTGACACTGGTGTAAACAAACTTATTGTGCTGCCAGTTGTATCACAGTATGGCACATGTAATTATATACATAATACTTGATAATGATGATAAATGACTATGTTAATGCTTTATGTATTTACAAGACGATAGTTTTATTATTATTTTGGAATGTGCTCGTTCTACTGATAAAAAAAGTTTGCTGTAAAACAATATGCCATGTTACGCCTCATATCTAGTGTTTATTTGATTGCATCATTTCCTCTTATGCTTGATTTTAATCTCGTGTTATTTTGTACAGTAACATGCGATACAGGTTTGTAACCTAGGAACAATAAAGTATATACCATATAGCCGGGTGTGTAGTAGGCCCTCTATGGTGTTCACACAAGGATGAAATCACCTAACAATGCATTTTTCATAGCATATCCCCATTGTTAAATGGCTCCTGACCGTACTGAGAAAATGCTAGGTGGAGTACTTGAGGGGTTAGACATAAAGAATGGACCAAAGTTATCCCAGATATGATACATTCCCAGCTGAAGAATGGACCTCAATAAATAGGGGAGGAGGGGCGTCTCACACTTTAAAGTGAGAAAGGTGTTCAATTTTAGTCAACAAACTGTTATTGAGTGCCTTCTACTTATGAAGCACTGGGTGAGGTACTACAGGGGAAAAAAAGAAAGATGAGTAAGAGACCAAATATAAGCTCTATGAGAGGGAATTAAAAGACATAAACACGAATAGTGGTTTTGTGAAGGAAGGGGGCTTAGGAAGGTAAGAAATATTTTAATTTGTGGACAATAAGGACTTTCCAGATTGAGAGAATGACATTCACCAAGTAATGGACGTAGGAGAGACAGAGGACTTTTTCGGAGATTTGCTATCCAGTCTGGCTGGACTGTGGTTATTGGAGACAAGGCTGGGAATGTAGTGTGACACTGGACAGAGAAGGTTTGCTTTCCAAGTAAGCCAACAGAAGAGTGCTAACATATCTGAGCAGCTGAATGACATTATCCGAGTTGTTTTTCTCATCTAGATCTTATATCTTGGATTAGGAAGTGGGAAGAGAGATTGGAGGCAAGGAGACTGGCTTAGAGTTTCTATCTCTGGTCCAGTTGGGAGATAAGGGGCCTGGATAAGGGAGGTGGCAGGGCAAATGGAATGATACTTGTTGAATGGATGGTTTTGAAAGACATGAAGAGACAGATATGGGGACCAGCTACTTACTGATTCACTACGAGCAATAAGATGTTCACTAATAATAGCTTACATTAAGAAGTACTTACTTTGTGTCAGGCCTTGTGTGCCAGATGATTTACACGCCTTCTCTCATTTAAACCTCACAGAAACTCTGAGGTAGGTGATGTTACTGAGGGAAAGGAATCAAAGATGGCCAATAGGACTTTAGCCTCAGACACTGGTAGCTTCAATGATAGTATTATTAGTAGAAATAGGGAAGTCAGAGGACTTCGTTTGTGGTATCCTGAGTCTGAAGTCTGTGCTAGCCATCCAGTGAATGAAGCTGTCCTGCCAGGTGTGGTGTTTGGAGCCAGAGAAAAAAATGAATGAGGTTGGAGGAGTATGGTGAAGAAAGAGCAAAGATGATATGAAGAGGTGAAGGGTTGGGGACACAGGAATGTAGGGGAAGCCATGAAGAAAAAGAGTGTGAACCTTCTCTTTTAGACTTTTTAAATCCAGAGCAGCATGAAGAGAGAAGTCTCTTGGAGAACATAGCCAGGGAGGAGGTATTGTCAAGTGAAGTCTAATTACACGAGGTGGAGAGTCTTTGAGACCACCTTAAAGTCTTAGTTACTTTGCTTATAACAGCTGGAAGTTCTAAAGGACCC